CATATATCTAAATACTCATACTTGACATGACACGACAACTCAAATTGCCACCCCTACCATTCCTTTGTCATTAGGTTGTGTTTGGTTGCCACTATAAATTTCACTTGCATTGGTATGAATTCATGGGAGTGGAAATGGGTTGAGCATAAATTTGGTTTATTTTTGCAATGAATTTGATCTTTTGACCCTATTTTATATGAGAAAGAATTGAGAAAGGAGGAAGGTAGAGAAACTTTTGCATAAGTTCTTAAGATGCAAAACTACTACGAGCTTGTGAGTGCAAATTGGATAAAAAATACAAATCTTGTATCAGATATGGGTGCAAATCATTGTTACCAAAAAAAAAAATAAAAAGAAAAAAGAAAAAACAGATGTAAAACTTCACTAGTGCAAAATTTTTATCTAGCTTCGACTTTGCATGCAACCAAACACAGCCTTGATGAATTAAACAATAATGCCCCTCTCAAATAGAAATAGTCTTGCATAAAATCTTCCATATTTCAACCCAAAAAAGTCTTTAATATTTTAAAATAAAAAATAGATTAATCAAATATAATTAATACTAAATAAATATAAAATAGTATAAATCCATTACTAAAAATATAATACATATTGAATAATTAAAAAATAACAAATAATGCATTTATGGACTATTAAAAATGATTTACAATAGCAAAAACTATTAAAATTCTTAATAAATAATAAATAAATTACAAAAATATAATACATTTCAGATAATTAGAAATAATAAAAAGGGCATTTAATTAAAATAATTATTTAAATAATAATAATAATAATAAAAATTATTAAAATTAACTTATTGTAAGATTGTTTGATAAAGATTGAAATGAAGGGAAGGCAAGCTTATGACCCGGGAAAGTTCGCTCACAAGTTACAACGAAAGAAAACTAGTGGCAAGCTTAATTATGGACCGACGACTGAAGAGAAGCGTTATTGATAATTTTTTTAGAACGTTATGGTTGATATTTCAACGTTCCTTTCATCCCTTAGCACGCATCATCCTTTTTCTAACCCTCGTGCCAGGACTTAGGAGAGGCTTTGATAGTTCAATGTTTTATTTATCATTAAAGGTGTAGATTTTCCAGTCGCCCGGTAAAACTTTGACTTTGACTAATTTGATAGCAAGCAGCAGGCTGCAGCTCCACAATTAGAGACAAATCCGGTGATCAAACTAGTTAGGGGTCTAGTTATCGGATCAAACGGTCTGACTGTTCGACTTGAATAGTCGGCCCGTTCTAACAAAAAAATAAAAATTAAAAAAATTGAAAAACGGTCAAAATCGTTTGAATAGTTCGAACAATTAACCAGACGGTTCAACGGTTTATTGACCAAAGTCAACGGTTTTAGGGGAAAATGGATGACCGTTTCCTAATTTTTCTGGTCCGATCTAGTCCGATTTTGAAAACCATGGTTTAAACTTTAAATCAACCGACAACACTGAAGAAAAAAAGGATTAATTAACTGAACTTGATAGTAGACTTTATATATGATAGATATTTCTTATATATTTATCTTCTAATTAATCTGGATAAGGTTTTATTTTGTCATGTAAGTAGACTTGCTAATAGGTTGCCTCATGTTATGGCGTCTAAATTAGTTCTCCTGGTTTTCTTGTTTCTTTGTATAACCTTGGATTTAAGGTTGTATTTGTTTGCGGTGTAAATACAAACCAGTGTAATTAAATATTTCAGCCTGTATTTATCGACATTAAGTGTAATTAAATATCAAAAATCGATGTAAATATAACCTTAATAAATCAATATAAATGTCTACATCGATGGGTGTTCAACTCCATGAGTGTACTTTTACTTTAGTAATTGTGTTATTGTGGCACTCCCCAGTCCCCCAAGTTTGCTTTGCAGCAAAAACCTTTGTATTTTTGGCTCAGTTTAGAAAGTGTATAAATACAAATATTTACAATGTAAATACATATAAAATAATACAAATTAAATACGAGGTTTCACATTTTATATAATACTTCAAAATTGAACCTTTGACTCAATTTGGAAGGAATACAAATATGTACATACAAAATAATATAAATTACAAGTTTTATGCTCTAACATATTTGTATCTGTAATATTCCTTCCAAATGGAGCTTTGGATTTCAGTACTTGTATTTATGAAGACATTGGACTATTCTCATGCGATTTGATGGGCAGATTTATACAATTTTTTAAACCCCAAGCTATTCCTATATTACATTTTAAGACTATTATTTATCCTTTTAAAGTAGTTTGTTCATATAAATCTATTAACTCTTATATGTTCCTCCCAATGAAGGCTGGTAGTGATTCATGCCCTCTATGAACAAGTGGTTCATATTCGATGCCTTGAAATAATGAGTAATTGATCTTCGCTTCACAATGGGTATTTTCATAATTTTTATTGTTGTTATTTTGAGTTTATATAATCCCAAATAGACAATTTGGTAATTTCATTTTTACCTTTACTCGCGTTGACTAATGAGGGGCAAAGTGCTGAAATCTAAAAGTACAATGGACCTCTTTTCCAAAACAAAGTTCAGGTGGCTAACTGTCACAACCCACAGCCCCCGATTGGGTGTCTATATATATAATATACCTTCTTTTGTTTTTTAATGTGTATTGTTTTTTTTTTTTTTTTTAAAACCATTATTTTGATGGTTTATGATGGTTTCAAAAACAGAATTCTCTCTTTGAAACAAAACAACCTTGTTTTGCTTCTCAAATAGAAAAAAAAAAACATGTTTTATTCTTTTATAATGACAGTTTTAGTAGGCATTTAGCATCGGTGCTGAGAATATTACTCCATTTTTTCAAAAAACAATGCTTATTTTTTTGTTTGGAATCGATGCTGTCGCATAAGGCTATTTTATGAGAAAACAACATTGGTTTTGTTTGATATCAATACTGGCAACAACATTTTCAACATGATCTATATTATTCAATGTCTAAGATGATGCCATATTGATGCACATCATTATACTGCTGACAATAATGCACCATTTTCTTAGAAAACGTTGAATTTGGCATTATTTTATACCACACTTTCCCGATTTCTAAGGAGTGGTCTAGAGCTAGGGGTGGATTTGAGCGGAGTCGAGCTGAATCGTACCAAGCTCAGCTCGAGCTCGGTTCAAACTAGAACCTTGAGCTTGACTCATCTCGACTCATTTTATATTTTATAAAAATATTTCATTATATATTTTATTATAAAACTATTAGAAAAAATATTTTATAAAAAATAAAAATTATATATAAAAAAATTTTTATTTTATATTTAAAAAATTAAGAATTATATTCAAGCCAGCTCGCGAGCCTCATGAGCCGAGCTCTAGTAGGCTCGACCTCAACTCGTTTAATAATCGAGCCACTGAATTGGGCTCGAGCTTGGTTGAAACCGAGCCGAGTTGAGCTTGAGCAGCTCATGAAAAGCTCAGCATGTTGCCACCCCTATCTGGAGCAATGTTTTTTCTGGAAAAATGATACCATACAATAGGGCGTTGTTTGAAACACTACTTTCTCTGATGTAGTGTCGTTTTCTCAAAAAATGGCATCGATGCCAAACACCGCTAGAAACAAATGAAAACGAAAAGATGCATATGCAAGGAGAATATATGATAATCATATAATTAAATGGTACAAGTAAGTATGCTTTAAATTTGGAGTGCCGGCACGGGCAGCCCGCCCAACCAACTAATAAAGAATTAAGGGTCTGTTTGGTTTACAGGAATTGGGGTTTGGAATCGGAATTGGAATGGGATGTTCTGATTCCAACTGTTTGGTTGGGTAGAATCGAAATTCCATTTCCATTCCTGCTGGAATGGCATTCCCTTATTTGAAGAAATGACCATTCCCTACCCCTCCCTTGGGAATGAAATTCTATTCCTGCTGATTTTAATTCCCATTCCCATTCCCATTTCTGTCTAAACCAAACAGACCATAAGAATAGAGCATTCTAATTCCCGAAGATTTCAGTACTGATTCTGATTCTAATTACAAACCAAACGGACCCTAATACATAAATATCATAGACGATATAATAATCAACTAGTGACTAGTGAATAGTGATCCCCGAAATTGCATTTGACGTGGACTATATATGGACGTTACGTTTACGTTAGGGTAAGCCAACTAGCCCAAGCATGCACTCAAAATTCCCAATCAAGGTCGCGTCCCATGACTCACCATTTCAGTCATCCTGTTTAGTCCAATTTGAATGGGGGTTGTAATTTAAAAGTGAAAAGGGAAACTTTTCTCAATTTGCTGCTTACTTACGAAAACTAGTTGGAATTGATGTAAGTTATGATGAACTCAAAAAAAACTTATAAAGAAATACAGATGAACATGGCTCCTTAGTTAGTATGACTGCTGGCATGGGCCTTGGGGGATGGGCCAATTCTCATTAATGCCTGGCCCACACCCCAAGAATGGGGGTTGTAATTTGTAAACCGTAAAAGGAAACTTCCCTCAATCTTTGCTTATCTATTGTAACAATACATTAATAAAGTAAAATGTGTCCATCACATCACATGGTTTATATAGAAGGATGGATGAAATAGCGATGTGTTTTGACATTTTGAATAAGTGTAAAATATAAAAGCAAGACTCGCAAACCAAATTGATTCATGAGACCCACATCTCATACATGACGGATGATGAAGTTGGTCAAAGGTTGGAATGTGTTTTCTTGGAAGACGATCCCAATTCAAACCAAGCGTGGAATAACAACAACAAAAGCCCTTAGAACGCATGTTGGTTTCTATTATGCGCCGAGGGGAACTCAATTAATCGAAGCAGTCAAGTGTAAGAAAACCGGTCTACAATGCCTGGCTACCAAAAGGTCTAATATATCCACGTCACCACCGGTCAACAATGCCTGGCTACCAAATGGTCTATATGTCCACGTAAGCGTTACCCATGTTTGGTCTATATGCACAAAGTCTATATATACGTAGTGTAGTATAGCCCCATCCCCAGTACAACAGAGGCAAAATAGTTTGACCGAGTTCTGATTCCGGAGTAGTGGTGAAGGAGTTACATATTGCGTGCTACAAACAGGTAGTGATACTGGATTTCGTTAGTTCAAAATTACATGTGACCTCATCAACTGAGAGCATGCAATGTAACACAAAATATCTCCTTTGTTTCAATTCGTAATTAATTTCCTCCCTTTGATCTTTAACCTGTAGGAGGAATGGGTTCACTCGGAGACTACGAAATCAACGGATCACTACAGACTGAGGACTCCATTGTCATCACCAAGTCGGAACCCATCACGGTCCGTCCTGCAACGAAAACTGATGATGATGGGTTTTACTACTTGTCCAATCTGGATATACACGTGAACTTCATTCTTGAGATGCTATTCTGCTTCAAGGCCGACGATGACAGAAGAAGCGGGGGTGTTGTTGGCAGTGATGTATTCAAGAGTGCCTTGTCTAAGGTCTTGGTCCATTATTACCCGCTGGCCGGCGTTCTTACCACCGATTCCGATGGCCGACTAACCGTGGAATGTACCGGAGAAGGGGTGCAGTTTGTTGAGGCGGTAGCCGACTGTGATATTGATGCATTAGGTGACATCAGCAAGCGCGATCCTGCGTTACTAGAGAAGTTTGCTCATGTCTTTCCGGAAGCAACGAGCACCCTACAAGCACCTCTTTTGACTCTTCAGGTAATATATAATTGTTTTAATTAACAAACAAAAGCAGTACTGAGAATCATGAATAACATAATGGAGCAAATTAATGTAAAGTTAATTTGGTTTCTGGTCGCCCCATGTGTACACAGGTGACAAGGTTCAGGTGTGGAGGCTTTGTCATTGGAGCAGCATTCAACCATTGCATATCAGATGGAACATCTATGACAGAGTTTGTAAATTCATGGGCTGAAATCGTCCGAGGCGCTGCTTTAACCCAGAAGCCCTTTTTGGACAGAGGAATAATTAGATCAAAACAACCTCCAAAGATAGAATTCCCTCACACAGAGTACTCGGTGATTGATGCCCCACCAGGCTCCTTCACTCCCTTCGAAGATCACCAACTGATTTTTAGGTCCTTCTCTTTTACTCCCCAAGAGCTTTCCCATCTTAAGGAAATCGCAATGGCGGACGGCGTCATAAACAAGTGCACCACCTTCACGGTGCTCACAGCGTTGTCATGGCGTGCTCGGACCCAGGCGGTTGGGTTGAGTCCAAACCAAAAGACGATACTTCTCTTTCCCGTGGATTCCCGCTCCAAATTCCAACCTCCATTGCCCAAAGGATACTTTGGCAACGCCATCCTTCTCATGCACTGCGTTTGTAGTGCAGGGGAGTTAATAGAGAAGCCATTGTCCTTTGCCGTCAAATTGATTCAAGAAGCCATCGATTCGGTTACAGACAAGTACCTTAGGTCGTCTATCGACTACTTCGAGGTGCATAAACCTGACTTGACATTCACACCAGCTACATTCGTTGTTAGTACGTGGATGAGACTCTCATACGAAGACATAGATTTTGGAGTGGGAGCCCCTACACAAATCGGACCTGTTGTGCTGCCGGAAAATCTAGCTCTCTACCTCCCTCGTGGAAAAGGTGTCACTATGTTATTGGGTTTGCCAGGCCCAGCCATGGATATCTTCCGAGAGCTGATAAAATATTAGGCTAAGTTAGTTTGATCGTTATCTATTGGAACTTGGGAAGAGAGATGTTAGCTCTGGTTATTAGTAGTTTCATTACATTAATTGCAATTAATGGATATATATATATATATATATATATATATATATAATCTTTTTACTTACTTATTTGTGTCTGTTCTTTTGGGAGGAGAGTCGTAAAGAGTCAGATGTGATCAGTTGTCTAAAAGTGTTTATGTCCAACAGATTATGTTGTTATTACTGGAAAATTAACAAAGATTATATTCGATCGATCGTAATAAAATTTATAGAATCTTTCTCCGTAGCTGAGTTGGTAATTAATATATAGAACAGAACACTGATATGTAACGGCTTTCTTGTAAGTTGTAGCATTTCATCAGATAACAAAGTTAAGATGCTTCGCCTGGGTGATCTGATAATGCGGTCCAGATTCAATCCTTTACAGTATTGGACCTTATATGGACCCACCCCAATCGGATCCGGTGGTATTTACTGAATTAGTCAAATTTTCAAGTCTCCAAAGTTATATAGTTGGGAAAAGGCTATGATGATGATACACAAATAAAACCATTTTTTGGTGATGATGATGAATTTAAAGATTGTTATGATATTCATAATTCACTGACCATTATTCTGTTTTTCTTTTCAATAATTAAAAAAAAAAACAAGCTAATTAAACAAAGCTCTCTGTGGCACCATAGTACAAAACCGGTGTTAACACTGGCATGTGAAGGAGAAAACCTTCATAGGGTAAGGGAAACTGTTGGCGTACTGGAAGGAGAGGATTTGGCCGGGGATTAGAGCTCCTCCGTCGTTGACAAGGCAGTTATTATAACCGAGTCGCCGGAATACTTTAGGGTTTATCAATCGAGCAGTGCTGAACCACCTACAGCTGATATGAATGTTGGAGATGTTGCACTCATTGATGCCTACGTTGAGGATATGCACGGTATATGTTGGGATCCCATTCGGAAGTGGGGCCGTTGGGCCTTGATTCACGCCTATGTCTGCTATGGAGCATCTCTTATTCTTACCAATCCGATTTGGAACCTCGTTAGCTACTAGAAAGTGAAAAACATTCAAGAAAATGAGCAGAATTGAATTCAGTACTACTCTGCTGATAAAATGCGAGAGAGAGAGAGAGAGAGAGAGAAAGAGGTTTCGATTGAACTATATATATAAATAAATACCTGTTGACATGAGGAGTAGCTTACGAGGCAGAGTAGTGCAATTGTTTGTGGAAGTAGTGATGGGTGTTGGAGTGGCGACGTCCCTAACCAGCCCAGATGTCCGCCGAGGCTCTGCTCCTGCATCAGCATAATCTAAATTACATTACTACATTCTACATATACGGTCCAGACTCCAGATGTAAACATGTACAATCCCAATGTTGCACTCCCACCCACCCATGCATTAATTAATTGCAAGGCGATGGTGTTTGGATGGAGTCAAGTTTTATATTTGGCCTTAGCCCTTAGTTCACAAAAATCCTCAATCTCCCTTCCCAAAGTTTTGGGTGGAAAAAGAAGAGAAATTAGCTAGGGAGCAAATTAAGACAAATTTAAAGAGATCGAGATGATTAACATTACCAATAACAATATTGAAGAAAATAAGCAGCAAACCCAAACCGAGAGCCGCAGGCGGATCAATACCAAACCCAAACCCAAACCCCCGATTAGCACTACCAGTCATGGCGATCGGAGAACCTACCAAGTTCAAGAGAAACAATCGTGTTTACAACTCCTATATTCCATTTTTGCAGCTACCAAGAAGGATTTTAATGTCTTTAAACGATTCTCCTACTACATGATTGATCATGGGAAAAAAGTGGATTCTAGTGTCTTTGTTTTGCTGAAAGGAAATAAAAGTTAAAGATAAAAAGGCGATTACTTACTAGTTAACAGCAACACCAAAGAACAGACTACAGTCTACAGACACCCAAATGCCAAGAAGTTCCAACTTCAAACCTGATCGTTTATAAAGGGACTGTAGCGTATAATTTTAATGGGCGTCAATTACGACTAAAAATACGCAATTACTACATTCATATTTATTCCGTTGTTTTTCTTTTTCTGTTCTGTTGTTAATTAATCCTCTTTATAAGCACTACTCCGGATTCCAGCTGTTCTTTTAATCTTACCTACTAATCTAAGTATCTAACAAAAAACCAACGCCTTAACCCTTCTCTCGTGTATATATATATATATACATATATATTAAAACTGGTCCTGCCATGTCAGTATAGCTCTCCTTGCAGTAAATCCCCTTCTTAATTTTCTATTTTTTTGAATATTTTATTTTTTTAATTCCACATAATTACCTATTAAACCAATAAGGAAATCACATATACCTAAAATTTCTATAAATCATAAATATTTTCTAATGTTTTGTCAAGTGGCACCACTTTCCCCCACTTCCTCCTAAATTGTCTCTAATTCCTATTTATCTCCTAAATTATCTCTAACTCCTATTTATCTCTTAAATTATCTCTAATTTAGTAGAGAGATTCTTTTCTAAACTATCTCTAACTCCTATTACTAAATTATCTAAACAAAGTTTCAAATAAAAAAAATTCAGAACTATTTAAATGTTATAACGAAATTATATACCAAATTTAAAATATTTATTCAAAACACAAAAAACTAATAGATTTAATAATATTCATATTAGTAATAATTCAATGTCTTTACAAAATTCATCATGGAATTATGTAGTAACAATAAAAATTATAATTTTATGAATTATTCAATTTAAATGTTATTCAAATAATAAGAATTTAACATTAAAAAGTAAAACATTATTGAAATATTTCAATAACTAAAAATCTTAAATAAAAAACATTAAAAATAGCTAAATAATATAACAAAATATTTAATATTACGCAATAACATTAAAATAAATAAAATTCAAATAATGAAATTTTTTAAATATTTTACATATTATTTCAATATTTAAATAACAAAATATTTAACATGACAAAATTTTAAATAGTTAAAATAATGAAATTATGTAATAAATTAAAAAAAATAGAATTCATAATATTCATATTAACAATAATTTAATATTTTACAAAATTAATAACGAATTAAGTTATAATAGTACAATTATAATTTTATGGATTATTAAATTCAATAAATAATTAATATTTTAAGAAACTAAATAACAATATTATTTAAATAAGTAAATAACGTTGTAAATAACTAATTTCACTTATATCAATTAATAATTATAGAAAATAACTATCAACAAAATTATATTTATTAGTAATAATTTTACAATAATAGTGTATATTGATTATATATTTATATTTACTATAATTAATATTTATTTTATTTTCAGTAATTATTTATTGTTTTTAGTAAATATGCTTTCAATAATTATTTTTAAATGTATTTTTATTTTGTTATTTAATATAAAATTATCAATAATTATTGGAGATTAAAAAACTATTGTTTAACTTTTGAAATTTAATTTATCGTATTTATTGTATTTTTGTTATTTATTGTATTTTTGTTATTAATTTATTTTTAGTAATTATATATTTTTTTATAATTTAGAGATTAATACTTATTAGAGATTAAAATATTATTTGATATTACACCATTTGTTGACTAATTTAGTATATTTTCAGTATTTATTATATTTTTATAATTATTGTATTTTTATTATATATCTATTATATTTTCATTATAAACTTATTTTCACTGATTGTGTACGTTTTCTATAAATTTTCAATAATTATTGGAGATTAAACTAATGCTATTTATTAGAGATTAGACTATAAATTTAGTTGAAATTAGGAGTGTTCAATGATTGGTTCAGTTCTGTTGTAGGCTGTTTTGCCAACTAAATCGATCTAGTCAAGTCCACAGTTTGTCACTCGAAACCAATTGACCATTAGCGAAAATCCACCAACTCGGGTTGTATCGATTTGGGTCTATTTTTGGCTTAATTTGTTTGTTCAAAAGATTTAAACTTAAAAAATTAATTTTAAATTTCATAAATTATAATGATATTATTAAAAAATAAATTACAAAAATTAAATCTATGATATAAAATAGTTAAGAGTAACAAATATGGGAATTTTCCTACTTTCCCGTACTAAAAATTAAATTTAAAATATAAAATATTAATATATATTAATTAAACCAAAGTCAATCTGAAATACTAGCTAGAAAACCAACTAAATCGGGTTTAGTTTGATCAGATTGTTTATTAAAAAGTTCAAATATAAAACAATTATATACTCTTATGTATTTCTATTGTTTAACTTTCGCTTAACAAAGCACGGGTCCCCGTCACCATGCCTCTCCTTGCTCCATTATCCCCACCCTGCACACTTTGACTTTCTCTCCTCTCCCCTTCCCACCACTCCGATTAAGCCATATCACCCAACTACCTAAAAATATTCTTATAATCTCTCTCCTAAGATATCTCATTTAAACCAATAGGAAAGTATCATGTTGCCCCACTCCCTAATGAATTCCTAAAATGCATCCCCCCAATCTATATCCACTCTCCCTCACTTAAAATATTCATATTAATTAATAAATAGTTAAATACGATTAATATTTAATCCAACCCATATTCAATGAGTATTAAATAGTGTTATTACCAAAAGTTAATAAATGCGGTTAGTAAATTACCAAAAATTAATAAATATTGTTATTAATTAACTCATTAACAACATTTTATAGAAATTGAAAATTCTTTAACTAATTTCTATAAAATTGAGAATTATATTTAACAATGATCAAAAGGTATAAAATTTTAGTTATTGTTATTATTATAATTAATAACCAAATACAAATGGGGGAACAAAATATTATAATGTTAAAAAATGAAACTATTAGTTAATTTGTATTGAAAATTAAAAGATAAATTAGTCTAATTTTGTTAGTAAACTACCAAATAAAAATATATATATATTTAATAACAATTTAAAAAATTTTAAATAAATCACCATAGTTACACAAATTTAATAAATTTTCAAAAATTTTCATAAAACTACATTTTCATAAAATAACATTTTTGAAATTAAAAGATATAAAGTTTTTGAAAGTTTATTTAAAATGCACTAAATAATTATTGAAAATTATTAGAATATTTTGGAAATTTT